ATTTGGCAGGTTTCTTCCAGGCACAGAGTGGCCTTGCTACAATAATACTGGTTTTAATCCTCCTTTGAGCAAGGCAATAAGCTTCAGAGCTGGCTGTAAGTCCTGTAGCTTCATGGCCCTCATCTCATTTGTTTTCATCCTTGCTTAACATACGTGTTACTTGGTGTGCATGCGGTCTGTGCTGTTGTGCTTTATAGGTGCTATGCAGTTTATGGCCTCTTGTTGGTGGACAAGTTTGGTGCTTACCTAGTCTAAAGTCTTTTAGACTAGAGACTTAAAAATGCCACGTTCAACCTAGCTTGACAGGCACTCAACTTTATTCTTGTACCAATGTCCCTGGCCATGTCTGAAAGTCCAAAAAAAATTGAAAACAGCAAATAACCTTTTTTTCCCCCATTCTTCTGACCTTAAAGGCTTTATTTGAAGAGTTTATGCAGAGAAGAATTAAAGCAAGGAAAATCCCTTTTAAAACTTGCAAGAACTTTTTTATTGTACATTTTATGCCCTCTTATGCAAAGTATGCTTAAATCTGTCACTACTTGAGAAAAACTACTGTGGCTTTTAGCTCATGTTTGCAACTGAAAATGCATTTTGTGTGTTTAAATGTGAGCTCTGAGGGGCTGCACGTGCTTTCTTCTCTGGTCTCCCCCAACATCCCTTTCAATCTAGAGGTGGTCTCTGCTTGTGGTGATGTTTCCTTTCACCTTCTGTGTGAGCTGCCGTGGGCTAAACTTCTAGTTCTGGTGCTGAGTTTCCTTATTACTTCAATAGTTGTAGGGGAAAAGAAATTTCTGGAAGTCTTCAGGAGAAACCGGCAACTAGATGTAGTTGCTGTGGTGACCTTGGTGGGATGCTGATGTAGGCACATGAAGGCTGGTAATAATACTTCAGGAGAGATGGCAAAGCCTCTTGCAGCGAAATTGCTGCAATTTTGTGGGTGCAGTTACCTGGCTGCATAATGAGTGAAGAAAGTGAGGGGTGGGGAGATCAAGTGAAGTCCCTAGGGCAGCAACTCTTAAGATCCTGACTTGACATCTTCCTGAGGCTTTGTTACATCAGGTGCTCTAATACTTGACTTTCTGGTATCTTTTTTTCTGAATGGGAATAACCATCTCATTAAATCTGATTGAAAAGATGTGCAGCTTTCAGCTGGGGAGGAAAAAAATGCAGCTATAGAAATGGTTTAATTCCTGTCTTGCAGGGAGAAGCCAGGGCAAATCCAAACACTGCATCTTCCTGCTGCACCTCTTTTCCAGCTGCACCATGGCTTCCAAGCGTTCCTGGAAGGCAACCCCTCTAATCACACAGGGGAAGCCAGAATGATTAATTAATACCAGTGCTCCTGAGCTTGGATACTTGAGCAATGCTCTCTGCTCAGCCTTGTCTTCCAGACTTTGTCATGACTTGAGTTTTGCCTCCCTCCTTGGTGCTGTCTCAAGCTGGGCCTAGGAAAAGTGAGGAGCTGCCAGGATGATTAATTGCACCCTATAATTGCTTGCAGTGAAGAGCTTTGAATGCCCTCTTTGAATGCCTTGCAGAGCTGTCCTAGTGTTTTACACCTCTCATTTCTGCTGTAGTTGTCCTCATCGACCCTTGTCTTGCCTCCAGACAAGAATACCTTGTCTGTAGCCTAATGCTTGACACTCTTCTGTGATTTTGGGTTGTCCTTCTACATGTGCCTCTCTTGCTTCTGTCATTTGTCCTTGACAGCTCTGTGTCTCCTACTTATGAACTCATGTCCTTACTTCTCTTCAGTAAATCTTAAAACTCTCTGATTTCAACCAAGCCTTTAGAAGAGCTAGAGAGGTCTCAAAGATCCTGAAAGCTGCTGTAAGAGGAGTAAACCAAAGGCTAGGAAGGAAAGATGCTTTCTACCTCCCTCCCACACAGACCTCTGCTCTGGTGCCTCATTCCAGGCTTTGGGATGACCATTTCTGTGTACTCCTGGTGTGGGGGAGCCACTGCTGGGATTGCAGGCAAGGAGCTGGAGTTATTGCAGTGTGGAGGAGACTGCTGCAGGAAGCCAGCCTTTTTGCTTGTTTTTCTCCAAATAACTCTTGTTTTTCTCCTTTCTGAGAATGCAAATCTGGAGTTTAGCTTGACCTGTAACACGGTTTACTCCTTGTCCTCTCCAAGCTCAGCACAAGGTCTCTGCTTCTCTGGAGCTCTTGCTCTGGGGAGTTGACCTTCCAGCAGTTCTGCCAGATAGTCAGTGCCTGGTTACCTCTAACAGGTTGAAGAACCTGTTGTGCTAAACCCTAAACGAAACTCCTAGGATGCCTTGGACTATGTGGGTATGAAGAGCTCCTTTCCAGCCACAACTCTGTCCTTCTCAGTGTGACCAGGTTGGCTTGGAGCTCAGCCCCTTTTGCTGCCTGTATAAACAGCCTTCTCGCCCTCTTATCCTGCTCCTGCCACTTTGGAGGTTTGCACCTCTGTTTGCTTTGATTGCAGGTGATTAGAAGCAGTGCTTTAATGGACAAAACCATGTTTGTGTGAGAGTTGTGCCAGCCCGTTGCTTGGAGGTGCCTTGCTTGGCTATGGCCTGTCTTGTTCTCCACTGAGAGAACCTGGCACAACCCATCACTGGCCTGCGTGCTATGGGATTCCTCATCCTTTTCCACTTTCTTTCAGTGTTTTTGAGTTTCTCCTTGGGGGAAAGGATATGTATGGGGAAAGGGTGGGTTGCCCCCCAATGTTTCTAGAAAATTGGACCTTTCAGATGAGGGCATTTGTTCCTTTAACTATCCTGGAATTGGGATTTGTGCAGCAGTTGGTCTTATCCTTAATGTCCCATGTAATTACCTCTCTAGAATAATTGTCCCTCCAGCTTGCTCCTTCAGCCTCTAGTAATGACAACAAATTCATGGATTACTGCAAAACACTAAGCCTGTCGACTTACCAGATGGGCTGACTTTGATTCTTCGGTCTCTAATATCAGATTTGATCTCATAATTGCTCCGATTTAAATGAAAATGTGTTATCCCAGAAACTCTTTTGAACTGGACATTTCTTGTTTGACTGTAAATATATTCAAGAGAAATGTTTCTTGCAGACACTTAGCCTGAAGCATGCTTAAGACATAAAATTTCCCATTCACTGCAAATCAAAACTGGTGTCTTATTTCTACTTTTCTTTACTGAAAAGTGTATGTTTTTTCTTCCTCTTTTCTACCTCTCTGGTATTTAAGAAAAATCACTCAAACCCTTTCTAACAAATGATTTATTCTTCCCAGAATTTCATTGGGAAGATGCGAGACCTTCAGTTTTCCTAGAGATGTGACCAAGTGTTGCCCAAACCATTGGGTTTGAGACTGCCAACCATCCTACTGGATTTTCCAAACAAGGTTTCCTTGGAGCATGGTAGAGAAGAAGGACCTAGGGAAGAACTCCCCCAAGGGGTTTCTTTATGGAGTTAGCTGAGAAACAGCTTTTTGAGCATGACATGGACCACTGGAAATGGTTTGTCAGCACCCTACTGCTCTGCAAGGTCTCTTGGATGGCAAAGTCGCTTGTTTTGAAGGTGAAGGCTTCCCCAGCAGTGATGAGGGTAAAGGAGTAAACCCTCAATGAGAAGCAAATTGAGGATTAGAGCAAACAGGTCAGATTGAGGCTGCCATGTTCCTCAGACGCTTCATGTTGGGTGTTTTGCATCCCTTGGTTTTGGCAACACTGTCAGCATCGAAGACAAACACTTCACCCGGGTGTGATAAAAGGAGGCTCTGAGGTCTCCATCCTCCTGAACCACCCAGGCTTCTACCCTTCCAAACAGCCTTTTTTTTAATCTAGGGCCTCTGAGGGACCCTTTTCAGCTGTCTGAGCTGCTCCTGGCACAATAGGAATCATCTCTGCTTGGGTAGAACTTTTGTGGCCCTGATTTCCAACACCCCTTTTTCTCGGCAGCATTTCTGCTCGGAGCATTCCCCAGTAACCTTTTGCCCTCACAAGACAGAAGGATATTGCCATCTGTTATTTCCTGAAGTTGGAGATTAAATGTACTTCCCTGTCTGCAGCAAGTCTGAGCCATAGCAAATGAGGCAGGAATGGAATTAATTTACTGCTCTGTGCGACTCGCATTGCACGAACTCTTGACTTGCTGCCTGGGCTCTATTTTTCCATAGCTGTCAAGAGTTGTGAGTCGTTGTAAATGGTGGGATCACATTTATTTCCATTTATTTCACATCTATTTACCAGCCCTGGGGTTTGCTGAGCTCATCTGTCCTCGGGATGTCTGTCTTAACTCTTATGTTGTTGTCAGATGGTCAGACCCTGGAAAAGAGATATCTGGCTTCACTGTTGTATTTGGGAAGCTCTTTTGGAGTAGTTAAGAGGTTGTTGGAAGCACCAGGTTATATTAGGTGGTAAAGCTTTTTCAAAAGCTGTGCTGCATCCTGGGATGTTGGATTTCCAATGCCTTCAGCACGTACCTCGCCAGGGCCATACAAATACATGAAGCATCAGGGCATCTGAAATACATCACTACCATCACCCTTGAGTGTTGTGGTCTAAGCAGGGCTGGTCTTAGTGCTACAGGGTGGAAAATTTTCAGAGGAAATCAGGGTGGAGAGGAGATGCCTCTGCCCCTATAGCAAATGTCTTGCATGAATGTCCTTGGGCAGGGTGCATCTAAACCCCGATGGGGACGGTGTCTGGCCACTGTGCAGTGATCTGTCCCCATGCTTCAACGATGCCTGTTGCTTCCTTGTGCCCTAGCTGGCTCCATCCTGTTCCAATTCAAGCTTGCTGCTGTTCCAACAACAGCTAGGAAATGCATGCGGGTTGTGTTGAGGGCTGCAGGGTTGTGATATCCCTGGATTTTTTACCCCTTGTTGGAGTTGCCTTGTCTGTCATGGGAGATGGCAAGAAAGATGATCCATCTCCATGGCAAGAAGCCCAAAACCTCTGTGTCTGCATGTGCGTGCTGCCTGGGGGCAAGGTGAGCCCGTGGGAGGGGGGAAGCCACCCTTGTGCCCTAAGTGACACCGTGATGCTCTTTCTCAGCAGGGCTGCGATCCCTTCGCGCAGACGCAGCGCAGCAAACTGCAGCACCGCCGTGCACGCATCAACCAGCAGATCAACAAGGAGATGAGGATGCGAGCGGGGGCAGAGAACCTCTTCAGGTGAGTGCTGCTCCCCAGGGCATCAGCACAGAGATAGATATGGGGGATACATATAATATATCCCCTATATGGGGGAACATAGTCCAGTGGTGCAGGGGAGAAGGGACACCAAACTGTTTTAACAACTTATTTTTGTCATACACTGCAGTGAGCCATCACTTGTCCAGCCAGCACCTACTATTATTAATGCAGACTGCTTGTTCTGAGCAGATATTTCTGATTTTTTGTTTTTTTTCGAGACCATTTCATGGTTCTGCTAGGAAAAGGCAGACTGCCAGACCTCAGTATGTACAGAAACAGCCACTTTCTACCCTGATAACTCTCCTGTGTCTTCCAAATGCACTCCTCTCCCCCGGTATCACTATGGACAGACTTATCTCTGCTTCCTTTGGCAAGCCTTGATCTCCTCTCTTCTGATTTGCTCGGCTGTTTTGCTCCTGCCCCCTGTCCCACAGGCTCTCGGAAGAAATTATCCGAGTTGCCTAAAACACACAATTTTATCTTGGTGTCTGGGAGGCGATGGATGCTGTCACTGCTATGGCTGTGCCTTGCATCTGGATTGGCTTTTCTTTTTCCTTCCTTGACTTTGCAGCAACTTTTCTGCACACACTTACACTTTGCTCAGAGCAACATTGATTTTATACATTTTTACCATATTACTGGTCGGTATTTTAGTTTCCTGGAAGCCTATTACAAAACAGAGTGTGAGTGGATAATAGTAAATGGTAATAGTAGGAACAAATGTTGAGTTGAGCTTTGAATATGTACATGCTGTTTGATACCCCTAGCAAACTGGTCAAATTCAGCTTTGGGAAAATTGCCCCAGTATTTCCACCGGAACATTATCTATCCAAAATTTTGGATATTACATGGCTTTAGTCCAATGGCAGCTAGCTGCTCTCTCTCTTAAGAGGATACATGTGTGAATGTATTTATGCCAAAGCTGCATCTTTGAATGGTTTTCAAAATGCAGCTGGTTCAGCACAGGTAGAGCCAACTGGTTACTATCTTCCCTTGCTCAGTGGTGATGATAAAAACATAATGCATGGGCAGGTTTTTTACAGTTACTTTGTCTTTTCTACCTAATAAATGCTTTTTGTAGCTCATATGCATCTCAGATATAGTATATCTGAGCAGAACTTCACATGCACACAGAGGGTAGGTGTATATTAATGCAAAATAAAATATCATAAAGCTACTCTAAATGTGCTTATGAACAGGTTTTCCAGCTGCATATTTGACCTTTCCTGGGATGTTACGTCTCCTAATAAAATGAATTAACATTCCTTTTTTTGCTTGTTTGAATGATTTAGCATTATTCATAAATGCCATTTGCATCTGGAAAAAAGGAAGTTATAGCTGTACCAGTGATCTTCATCGAGGAACCTCATTTTACAGGCAAACGAGGTCAGCAGTGGTGCCCTGAAGAGCTCTGATCTTTGTGACATGCAGCTGCTCTGTTGTATCTGCTCCATATAGCTGCTCCACTGCATCTGCTGCTTTAGTTGGTTGGGATGCTGTGAACTGCAAAAACGCCAGGTCTCATCCCCTTAAAAAGGCCTTGAAATCCCCATGTGTGCCACTCCACATGCCTCAGCTTTGTAGAGCCAATGGGAAATGTGCTGTCTCTTCAGCAGTGAGCCTGGCCATGGTTTTGGTGTAAGCATCGTGAATCAGAGCTGTGAGGTCCCATCTACTTTCTGTGGAGGATTAGGGATTTGTGGGTGGCGAGCAGCTTTCCCTCCTCATCTCTGTGCGCAGGAGAGCTAAGAATAATGCAAAAACACACCTTAATTGGGCAAGGAGGAAAGGGGACACTCCTAGCAAGGAAGGGGCAAAATGCACCGATGGGACTTTTTTCTCCTGTTGGATCAGCAGTTTGAATGTCTCTTTTGGTAGCAGCAATTTTTCTTCCTCTCACAAACTGGCTTTGTGGTTGAGCAACATGTGGGTTTGTGGGCATTGCAAATTTTGGAGCTTGTGAGACTGGGAAATCCTGGGAAGAAGCAAACTAAAGGTGTGTATGTGAGGGGGAATTGCATGCAAAAGGTGGTGGTTATTTTAGGTTTGGGCTGCGCTGAGAAGTTTCCTTTAGCTTTACCTGGGCAATGTTAAATGCAAACAGGGGAAAACTGATTTGCCCAGTTTGGAGCACAGTTGCAGCTGAACATGCTGCTTTGCATCCCCATTTCCAACTTATAGATAGGTGAAAAGGAAAAAAAAACCTAAATGGTTCTGCTCAGTGCGTCAGTCCCGTTTCCTGAAGCGGCTGCCCTAAATGGTGCATTGGAAAAATGCACGTCGTATTTGCTCAACAGTGCAAGGGCTTTTCTTTGCTAGGTTAAATAAATGGGCAGAGGCAACGGAAACCCTTTCCATTCCTGTTCAAACACTGTGTCTTAACTAAGTAATCGGGGAGATAAAGGTGTCGCCAGTATACCAATATCTTTAATAATAAAATGTTCAGTTAGCTAAGCAAATCTTTGGGAACTTCACCAAGGAGGTAGATTAGGAGCTGAGGACTCTACGTGCTCACAAGGAGCTCAGTGTGTGCCCTACATGCAAAGCACGAGCCTAGGTAAGTGCAGACTTGTTCTGAGCAAACTTTACTATTGATAATTAATGACTGTTCCCTAAATTACCACTGTGAAAGGTCTTGTGTTCTTGATGCCTGCAAGTGCCATTTGTGGAGGGTGAGGGAAAATACCCAAAAGAAAAAATGGACTCTATTGCTGAAGTCCAGATTTAAAATCGTTCACTGTCTGAACTGGGTGCAAGCAAAGATGCCCTGGGATAAAATCGCATGTATGTGCAAAATTCAGCATAGCAAATTTTGCTGTTTCAGGCTGTGAAGCCCCGCTTCTGCTTCAGAGGAAGGGATGAAAGCATTGATCATAAATAAATAATGCTTGTACACGGAGCTAACCAGGTATCAGCTGGTTGCAAATCAGCACATAGTAAATGCAACTTTTGATAGTATTAACATTAAAAAAAAAAATCCTAGCTGAAAACAATGGGGAGAAGTTCCATTCAACCCAATTGAAACTGTAATGAAAGCAGAGTTGTAACTCCTTTCTTGAGGAAATGCAGTACATGAAGGACAAAAATGCAACTAAATGTGTATGTGGGAAGGGGGTGGCGATTGCTGTTACCTTATGGGAAATTGCAAAAATACCGAAGGATATTTCAGTGGAATGGGCTGCAGAGATTTTTGGACATGGGCTGGTTTGGTTTTGTTTATTTAAAAGAAAAAATATATGTATTTGTATATATTGGTCTTTTGGGAATCCCAGTAAAGGAGCAGGAGGGAACCTAATGGACGAGAGTTTTAAAATAAAAATGTTCCAGGCCCACATTGTGTCCCGAGCTGGGTCAGGGCAAGGCCACCGAAGGCAGCTATCGCTTAAAGCACGACTCAATGCTAACATGTTCATTATTGGGTCCCCAAAGGCTGCGGGAGGGCAGTATCCCAGCCCAGCAAAGCTCGTGCGTGTTGTTTTTACTGCACTTTGCTGGGGCCCAGTGTGATTTAGTGCGAGGGGCTCGAGCACGTTTCAGCGGCCAATTGCAGCCTGACAGCTTTCTGCTGCCGCTGGGTTATCTCTTCCCCTGCTTTCTTTTGCAGCAGATAAGAAGGGTATAATCAGCCTGGAAGTTTGTCTTGCCTTGTCTTGCAACTTGCCGCAGCTGAAATCAGTCCTGGGTGTTTATATCCCCTGACATGCAATAGAGGAGAGGGAGGACAGGGCCTGACACTGTTGAGGGGTGCCAGAAGGGTTATTTGTCCCCCAAAAGAGCCTTTTCCTGCTCAATTTGAGGGCTAGACCTAAAATGCCTCTTTCATTTGGTGTACATGGGTGGGGGTGATCCAATCTGGGAGCGCAGATGGAGTGAACAGAGGGTGGGGGTCAGTGCAGGCACTGTCATTGGTCTGGAGAAAGAAGGGTCAGATTAATCCAAGCAGGAATTAATCTGGTTATGAGCTGTGTGAAGCCTCAGTCTCCATGGCGTAGGGTGGACAAGGCAGAAAACATGTCCAAAAAAAGCCACTGGAGTTTGATTTTTTTTTTTTCTTCCCTCCCCCCCTTATCTTCCCTCCACATCTACACTGTAGTGTCCTGTAGAATCTACACATTTCCAATCTCTGTTCCCCTTGATTTCAATTCTCAGCTCTTCAAGTGGCCAAACTTCAATTTTGGAATAGGTGGCCAGAAAAGATCTTAAGTTTTTCTTCTGTTACATGAAAAGTTAGGTGGGAAGATCTGACCCATCAGTGTGAGGGACCTTCTGGGTGCTTTTTTCTCCATCTTTGAGCTTCTGAGCAGAGGTTTTGCCATGGCCTATTTGATAGCCTGCCTGAATTTTTGGCTTGCTCTTGCAAACCTAGACCTAACTGAATCTGAGGTCTCATGTGCATCTCTTGTGAGGGTCATTTGAGAGCTACTTGTGGCAGAGCAGTTCCCCAGAGCCTGGTGACAATTGTTTTGCTTTCTCATCTGCGGAAACATGGAGAAAGAAACAGATTGTAATAGCACAAAAAAAAACCATCTTTTGGGGCTTCTCCTTCTACCAGGGAGCCACTGAGCAAAATTATCAGGGTGTCCAAAAGTGCTTCCAAACTAGTGGAGAAACCACAGCCCTCCGGGAAGGTTTGGACGGATGCTGCACGTGTCAGGGAAGGGAGAATGGCACCCTATGGTCAGATAAGTTAATTGCTATTTATCAGCACAGCCCGGCTTTTATGGGGGAGTTTTGATATACATGTTATTGTTTTCCAGAGCCACCAGTAACCACAAAGTAAAAGAAACAGTCGCCTTGGAGCTCAGCTATGTGAACTCCAACCTACAGTTACTGAAGGAGGAGCTGGAAGAGCTGAACAGCTGCATGGACGTGTACCAGAATGACAGGTACGTGGAGCTGCCAAGCAGGCCGGGGAGGTTGCTTTGGCGTGGGAAAAGCGGTTTGTTTGGTGGGGATTTCTTTCGTCTTTTCCCTTCCACCTGGCACGCGAGGTTGTTTCTCTTCTTCCCTCTAGGCACCGTAGTGTCACATCAGCACCTATGTCAGTCTTGCTTCTGCCCCTTGCTACTTCCCTTGAGCCTCTTGCTCTGCTCCCCGATCTGATCCAGGTTTGACCCTCTAGCAGGGAGCAAGAGTTGGTGGCTGGAGAATAGGAGAGGGATGAGACACAGGCCACGTGCTGCAACGATTTGCTCTTTCCTGCTGGAAACCTCCATTGCTTTATCTCTAAAACCACAGAAAAAGCGACCCTGACTATTTTTCCTAGTGGCTATTTAGGATGTGTTTTAGGATGGATGATGTATTCTCTGCATTCTGATATTCCAAAACCAGGAGCAATAGGTCAGAAGTAATCATCTTGAGCACAGGAGCACTCTGCAAGTAAGAATCCCCACAATAATAATAATAATAATTAAAAAAAAAAAAAAAGTTTTTTTTCTTTTTTTTTTTCCAGCAAGTGAAACTGGGTATTTAACAGAAGCAATTAAGAGCCTGGCTGCTTAGGTACCCGACCTCCTGCTTGGGCTGCTCCTGCAATGGATTACTCAGTCATTTTTATTTTCCCAGAGAGGGTATTACGTTCCTCCCCCTTTCCGAGGTTAGACCTTTCATTAATTGCAGCGTGTTGTTTCTCTGAATCGCTTACCCAGCCACCTCAGCCGTTTGACTCACTGGAGCCGTAATCCTAGCACGCTCGCCAGCAGCAAACCAACGTGCCGGGATGGCTCTGCACTGCTATTTATCTGGGTGAGAAAAGAAGAGATCCCCGAGGCAGAAAAGACCAGGGACGCTGCGGCAACGTGGGAGCTGCAAACGCTCCTTCCCTTCCTAAGACAGCTGTATGGCAGGCCCATGCACATAGAAAATACGGAGAAAAAGCTGAGGGAACCTGTGTCTTAGTCTCCCTTGAGCATTCAGTGTGCCCATGGAGTCTGCTGCAGTCTGAGCACCATCCTGGGCATCTTCTTCCTTGTAGCAATAGGCTGGAAAAATTAAATTGTAGGAGTGAGTCCTCCCATGACACAGGCTTCTTACTCAAGCTGTTTCCAAGTGGGGATGCTTGGCCAGTGTAACCAACCTTGTATTTGCTGTGGTTTGAAAAGAAAGCAACAGCAATAACCCCAAAACCCTGTGCAGGCCAAACAAACCCCCTTTTGTTTGCTCTGTTGTATCCAAATTGAGCTGAAATCTCGTTAGAGAACGAGTGGTAACTGTTTTTTCATACTAATTATAGCTGTCAGGAAGCTGTTTATTCAGTGACCAAATGAGGAAGAGCAGGGCCTGAGGATTTTCCCACCGCTCGATTTTTGCAGCTTTTTATTTTGTCTCCTCGCCTCCGTGGACCATGATGTGCTAATGACTCATCAGTGGTGTCTAAGCCAACGAGAATGGTTTAGGTTGTCTCTTCTCACTTGAGGACATTGTAACACCACTCAGCGTGGAGGCTTAGGAACATCCCTAAGGAATAAACAGCTGTTCATAGAATGCTTAATGTTGGAAGGGACCTCCAGAGGTCATCTAGTCCAACCCCTCTGCTCACTCAGGGTCACCTAGAGCACGTGGCACAGGGCTGTGTCCAAGCGGGTTTTAAAGATCTCTGAAGAAGGAGACTCCACAACCTCCCTGGGCAGCCTGTTCCAGGGCTCTATCATCCTCACTGTCAAGAAGTGTTTCCTTAAGTTCCTGGGGAACTTTTGGTGCCTCAGCTTGTGGCCGTTTCCTCTAGTCCTATCGCTGGTCACCACTGAAAAGAGGCCGCCCCCTCCTCCTCACTGCCTCCCTTGAGGTATTTATACACACTGATCAGGTCCCCCCTCAGCCTCCTCTTCTCCAGGCTGAACAGGCCCAGCTCTTTGAGCCTTTCCTCATAGGGCAGATGTTCCAGGCCCCTGATTATCCTCCTAGCCCTGTGATGGACTCTCCAGCAGCTCCACATCCCTCTTATACCGGGGAGCCCAGAACTGGACGCAGTACTCCAGATGTGGCCTCACCAGGGCTGTGTAGAGGGGGACGATCACCTCCCTCGACCTGCTAGAGACACTCTTCTTAATGCACCCCAGGATCTCGTTGGCCTTCTTGGCCACCAGGGCACACTGCTGCCTCGTGGTCATCTTGTCATCCACCATGACACCGAGGTCCCACTCTGCGGGGCTGCTCTCCAGCAGGTCCCGCTGTTGGGACCTCTCCTGCTGGAGAGGTCCCAACAACGGGTTGGGGTTTTTCCCAACATTCCCAAATGTTGGGAAAAACATTTCTCTGCCAGAGGCCAGCCTGAGCTGCAGGTAGCACTTACAGGTTCTCATCTCAGTATCCAAGAATCGGGCTATAGATCTTTGTGTTTCTGGGCCAAGAGTCGGGATCCTGCAAGTCTCTATGTACAGTTTGAAATAAGTTCTTTGCTCCTGCTGCAGGGTAAAAAAGCTGTAATTTTCTGTATGCCCAAGGCCCTGCTCCTAGCACAGGTCACTTCACTTCTTAGAAAATGAAAATAGCAGCTTAAACCCCAAAAGGATGATGCTACCTGGCTGGGATGCTTCTTTGCTCCACAGATGACCTCTTTTGTTTTCTTTCCCTGATGTTGAAACACAAACCACTCCTCAGCTGGGTATTGCCAAAGTCCTCGTAATCTTTGGTGTTTTACAAGTATTGAACCACCTCTGTGTAAGGGCTATTATTAGACGACTGGTTTTAGTAGATGGAGGAAAATTCAGTATTAGCCATAGCTCTGCACCTTGGAACAAGTCCTTATCACTGATGAAGCCTGTATTAGCCTATGGGAGTTCATGAATTCCGTCATGCCCATTTCCCAAGAGTTGTTAATTAAAACAGCTTTGTCACTGCAGCCTATTTGGATTGCTATTATATTTGTTTTGGAGATAAAAAACAGTAGCTGAAGTAATAACAGACTGATGACTTCAGGCTGTCGTCCTCATGCACCTTTCCAACGTGCACCATCGTTCCTAGCATCACATCCGTCAACATGGATCATGTCTGACTTCCTTTTCCTAAATGGAGTCTGGTCCTCTTTAGTTTTGCCCTTCAATAGGAACAAATTAAACTCAGGGCAGAGAGTGTTTTTCCTTATAGTGTCTGTGATGCTCCCAGCATGGGCAGAAAAGAAAAAGGAGGTGCAACCCAGCATTGATTTTGGGGACCCCTCTGTTCTCTAACATGGGTGGCAGCTTCCCATCATGTCAACGCTGTCCAGCTTGCTGGTCCTGCCTGGGGCTGAAATTTATTCCTGAGCCTGGAGCCAATTCACTTTTGTCCCTGAAACACAAGAATTTTACAGCACTTAGGAAACAGTCACTGAATAGGTTGCTTGTTCTTCCAGTGAGTCCATCAGCGTCCCCATGATTCCTTTGGGCCTCAAGGAGACCAAGGAGCTGGACTTGTTGATACCACTGAAGGTAAGCCTTGAGGATTTGCCCACCTGATGCAATTTAGACTGACTAGGGAACCAAACTGGGGGATATTTCTGCACATGGGCACCATTAAGAGCTGTACAGGGGACTGTACAGCAGCTGCAGGCCATTTTCTTCTTTGGAATGGTGGCTTTTAGGACGTGGCAAAAATAAATCCAGGATGAGGAGGTGGAAGATGGGGAAAGATGCAAGGTTGAGGAGTGGAGCAGTGGGGAAGTGATCAGAATTTCCTGAGGCTGCTGGACCTGGCAGGGCTGTAGCAGCCCTGTGTGTGAGTTGGGAGTGTCCTGCATAAGTTTGGCAGAGGAGGAGATCACGTTCCTGGCTTTTCTTGGTGCAGATTTCCAAAGACTTCATTGAGAAAGCTGGTGCATTGCTTCTACAGAGTTCTCAGAAGTCACCTTTCGAATCTTGATTGTCTGTTTTCAAGGGTGACTGTGGATTTTCTTCTGTTCCCCCATCCAGGATCTCATCAGCGAGCACTATGGAGAGGACGGTGTCTTGTTTGAAAAGGAAATCAAAGAGTTTATGGAGTTGCGGCAGGTTTGTGTCCCTCAAATTGCAAAATCTTATTCTGGCTTGTGGGAAGTCTCACTGAAGGTGCAACTTTTTCCCCTGGGTACCTTCATGCACCTTCCAAACTGCACACTTGTCCTTGAGGCTCTAGGTACCTCTAGGTACCCAAGTACGTTAAGTAGTAGGTTCCTAGAATGCTTTGCCTTCAGCTCATAGGTTACAAAACATTATAGACCACTAAATTCTTTTCCTTCTCCAGCTAACACATTATATAGTAGTAGAGAAAAGGAAATGTAATATGGTAAAGGTGAACTTTGTCCTCCCCTACCTAATAGCTTCTTGTAAGTATTTTCAGTTTTGCCTTGCCATAAAGCTTTGACCTCATGAGCAGGAAGAAAATCCTTTCCCAACCTTATAAATGTTCCAGTTCTGCTCTTCAGGCTGTGGGAGGGGAGTCCTGGAAGGTCAGAGCCTGGGAGAGGACTCATGACTGAAACTAGGCGCTAACAAAAGCCATCAAATCAATTCCTCCCTCATTTTTTCTATTATTCTATTATCGGGTGGATTTCTCCCTTAAAGTTTATTTCAGCAGACTTTGCATGCATTTTTCTCTTAAAAAAAAAAAAAAGTAATTAAATATCCCAGCTTGATTTAGTTGAGCTTTGTCATCAGAACAAAGTCAGAATTGGAACAGTAGCTGGTTTTAGCTTGCTGGATTCAGTCTGTGTCCCCGACCTGGACTTTGTACCTCTCCAGTCCTTTCCATAGATAAACCCATAGTAGCTCTCACACAAGCAGCTGCCTTCCTCTGCTGCACAAACACTGAGTGCAGCACTGAGAAGCTGGGAAGTCATATTAGGAAAATTCTGTTCCCTTGACTGCATGTTCTGTGGGAATCTTGAAGGTATTGGCCCAGTGATGTCTTCCTGTCCACTGAAATCCTTTGCCTGGAAAGAGAGGAACTCTGCACAAAGCCTTTTGGGTGAAGTTTCTCCCATATAAGCCAATGCTGTAGCCCATAGAGCTAAGTACTGCTGAACAGCATCTAAATCTTGTGTTCCTCCTGTTCTCTCCTCTCTCTTCCCACCCGTGTGTCCATCCTCCCTCTCCTGTTTCTCCACAGGCAATGCGGACACCGAGCCGGAATGAGGCTGGGCTCGAACTCCTCATGGAATATTACAACCAGCTCTACTTCCTTGATAACCGCTTCTTCCCTCCCAGTAAAAACCTGGGTGTCTTCTTTCACTGGTATGTGAAGCTTTTTCCTTTCTGACCTTTACGCTTCCCCAAACATTCCTGAATGGGGCTGATGTGGGTGTGTTGAAGTGGGAGACCTCATGGCTGTCTGCAGGGGTCTTCTTTCCTTGTAACATCTGGAAGATCCAACCTGTCCTTTTTTTCACCTCAAGAGCAATGCAGGGGATAGCTGACACAGCGACCTGACTTTCCTTCATGCTCTTGGCGTAATATTGACTTACAGCCTCAGGCAGATCCGTTGAAGGAGGCACGTGGAAACACGTGCCCTGCGGGGCCTGGGAATGAATTGCTGGGGGAATTGCGGCTGCCTCTTCCCATCTCCAGGTATGACTCTCTGACGGGCGTCCCTTCCCACCAGCGGGCACTGGCCTTTGAGAAAGGGAGCGTGCTCTTCAACATCGGAGCCCTGCACACCCAGATTGGGGCACGGCAGGACCGTGCCTCCCTGCCAGGAGTCAACAGGGCTATCGACGCGTTTCAGAAGGCAGCCGGTAGGTTGGTTCCCCTTCCTTTTAATGTGATCCAATCTGTGGTGATGCTGCAGGTACAAAGAGGAGCTGTGCTGGGTCTGAAAGCCACCCAAAGGCCTCTTTCTCACTGCACAGATCTATGATGTCTGCACTGGGCCAGCCTACAAGAGCCTGAAAGGGAGAGGAAATAGGAAAAAAAAACAAACAAACAAAACCAGAGGGCTGGTAAAAAAAAGTAGAGAGCAGGAAAGGGAATAATCAGCCTTCCAATTATCCCCTAGGGAAATGCTGATCAACCTGCAGAATTTGACTGGTGCAGAGAGGAAATAAATGTTATTTCCTTCTTGTGAGCAATTGGTAGGAGGTGATAGCTTGAACTCCAACAAAAACTCTTGGTAAATGCTAGAAAAACCTGACTGGCATGGAATTGTGGTCATCCCGAGCTTTTAAGAGCAATCCACAGGCATGAGGACCCATCTTGCTGCCTGTTGTGGGCGGTGGTACGTCTGCACAAGTATCCTGGAGCTAACTCTAGGGATATTCCTCCTGTGGTGCTATTGGAGACTGAGCTGAAAATTGTTTTCCTAGGAAAGCAGATCCTTCCCGTTTGCAGCTCAGCTGTAGAATTGCAAGCAAAACAGCTACCTGGAGCTTTTCCCTTCTGCAGGTGCGTTTAACTACTTGAAGGAAAACTTCTCCAATGCCCCCAGCCTGGACATGAGTGCCTCTTCCCTGAACATGCTGGTGCGGCTGATGATCGCGCAGGTGCAGGAGTGTGTCTTTGAGAAGGTGACCTTGCTCCGGGCCCAGAGCGACTTCCTCACACAACTGCAGCTTGCCCAAGAAGCAGCCAGGGTAAGTGCTGCCTAGGGGTTCTGCAGCAAAGCCAGACAAGGGTGCCATGGGGAGAAAGCAGAGGATTTTATGGGGTTGTCACTGGTGGGAGCGAGCAAGAGAGGCCCTGTGAGCTGTGTTACAGCCTCAAGATCACCATGAAGCAGCTGGAGAGCAGTAGGAACATGTGGAAACAGCAGCCTCCTGGGCATTGCTTGCCTCTGCGCGCTTGCTGAACTGTTTGTAAATATTGCTGGTTGTTAATCCAGCTGTAAAGAAAAGAAACAATCCCCTCGGTGGTTTAGGGGCTAAGTCATGCACACTGTTGACATAACTGCGTTTCCTAACCTTGAGTTATGAATAGAATTAGCCCAATGTCCTTATCAGAGATAAGCCCTTAATCGTTCTACCTTGCCCTGCTGGGAATGTTGCCTTCTCTAGGTAGTTGTAACAGTGCCAGGCCCAGGCCAAGAATAAAGCTGAGCTTCGGAAGATGCTCTGGCTGCCAGGCCCCACCTCTGACGTTGCCCTGAGATGGCTTTTGAGATCTCTGGGCTGCAGCAGCTGCTCAGTGTGATATCAGATTTGGCAATCAGAGCATCACCGTGTCTGGGTGTGCTAGAGCAGGGCAAACAGTTTATTTTTCTCAGAGAAGGATTTCCAAGGGACTTTTCTGTGTCACTTTGGGCAAGGGACTGAGAGAACCTGTGCCTCAAATCAGCTGAAGAGAAATATCTTTATTGTTCAAATATCCTGCAAGTATAAAATGCTTTTACAAGAGTTTCATGTGCTGGGTTTGAGCATATTCAAACTCAGATACCAGAGTCCTGTGTAGGTTATGGTTCCCAGCAGGACAAACCATGCAAGATGGGAAGCACTCATCTCATGCAGCTGCCTCCCTGCTGTCCACACAGTAGGAACACCAGAGCTTCCCAGGACAGCTAGAACTGGAACCCCTGGCTCCCACACACTCTTAGGGCAGGCCTAGCAGGACTGTCACAGATGGAGGCCTCCAGATGGATGTGATAAATATCCCATGTGACAACTTGAGTTTTGATGCCTGCAGGTTGAAGACGTCTACTCACTGGTGCATCAGACAATGACCCAGGCCCACGTGAAGGATTATGTTCCTTTCTCTTGGACCACCATGGTCCATGTCAAGTCAGAGCATTTCAAGGCCCTCTCCCACTACTTTGCTGCCATTGCCCTCTGTGATTGCCCTGGTGAGTATGAAGCATCTCAGTTTTGTGGTTTGGACTTGGCTTCCTGTTTAGCCAAGTCTAAAGTCTGGTTTGGTGTGGATGCTGTTGCAAGTCATTCTAAGAGAAGCCTAGCACTTGGAAGATTGTGAGAAAGAGCTAAAAGGCTATTCACAGAGTAACGGGGAGCCTCTAGAGCCTTTGGGAGGTTCTAAACTGTTGGTCCTACTTAACAGTTCTGAAAGAGACTTAAAAATAAGTACACACAGGCTAGATTCTCCCTCATTGCCTCACAGATTCAGAGAATGGTTAACGTTGGAAGGGACCTTTAGAGATCATCCAGTCCAACCCCCTTGTTCCAGCGGGGACACGTAGAGCATGTGGTACAGGGTGGCATCCAGGCAGATTTTGAAGACCTCCAGAGAAGGAGGTCTTCCCCACAACCTCCCTGGGCAGCCTGTTCCAGGGCTCTGTCACCCTCACAGTGAAGTTCTTCCTCACCTGGAGATGGAACTGCCTGTGTTTCAACTTGCACCCATTACCCCTTGTCCTATCCCTGGCCTCCACTGAAAAGAGCTTGTCCCCTTCCTCCCTACATTCCCCCTTCATATACTTATACATATTAATCAGATCCCCTCTCAGCCTTCTCTTCTCCAAAGGAAACAGGCCCAACTCAGTTTCTCCTTGTACGGGAGATGTTCCATTCCATTAATCCTCTTTGTTGCCCTGATTCTTTCTCTGATTTACACAGTCCTTGCAATGTCTTTCAGAAGAGGTCAGCAAAAAGATGCTTGTAGGAGTGTCTCATGCTCCCTGCTTTGGGCTGGGTGGATAAACACAGGGAAAGGCTGCCTGCTGACCAGTCCTGCCACACTGGTCCTCCTGGCAGGCCAGCCAGCGGTTGCAAGAAACAGGCTTTCCCTGGACAAACTGGTCTGGACTACCCACATTTGGTTGCCAGCCTTGTGGCTGGCTATGTGGATGCACCAGCACAGGGTGGCATGAGTCTGCAGAGTTCAGGTGAGATTTGGGATGCGATCCATAATCTCCATCTACTCTGTCAGTGGTGTTTGAGGAGGTGAGTTTGGGTCAGGCTGAGGATTTGGGGGACAGCAGCCAACGCGTGCTGTGACCTGCGGTGTTGGCTCTCCATGGGGAGGGGACAGGCAGCAGAGCTGAGCTGTTTCTTGGGGTCATCTGAGGCAGCAGTGCAGCCCTGCAGACCCCTGTCCTTGCTCTCACCACCCAATCCAGTCACTTTTGCAAAGCAGTGAAGAGCCTTGTTGACTACTATGTCATCCCAGACACTAGCCCTGCTACTTGTTTGCCTGCACAAAGGGGATCCTGGCTTGTTAGCCATTGTACATTGTATCTGCCTCATGTACATCCTTCCTTCTGACTGCTTTCTTTCCCTACCTCATCATCCAGTCCCTCACTGAGGTCTTTGCAGGATCTCTGGGGAGCCAGGGAGGTTGTGGGGTCTCCTTCTTTGGAGGTCTTCAAAACCCACCTGGATGCCACCCTGTGCTTTAGATGTCCCTGCTGGAGCAGGAGGTTGGACTAGATGTTCTCTAGAGGTCCCTTCCTACGTTAACCATTCTGTGATTCAGTGATCTGCAGCTTTCCAGGACAGAAGGCTGCAGCAAAAGCCCAGCGCCCCAGAAACACGAAGGGGACTATTTTGGTGCGTGTTGCACTGAGTTGCTGATCCCTGGAGGAGAGCAACGTCACGACTGTGACTACAGCCTGCCCAAAAAAGGAAGCGTGGGGTTGGCAGCCCTGCCCAGGGACACAGCCGGCCACAGCTCATTCGGGGGCTGCATCCAACCCCCATTCTCTGCAGCCTGCCCAAAATCTTCTCGCCAGGTCTGGGCTGCGTGGGCGCTGCAGAACCAGCAGAGGCTTTTAGGGCTGAGCGAGAAAAGATGCTGGGTCAGAGGCGGGAGCAGGGCTTGAAGACAGAAGTGACAGAAGCAGCAGAGGACAAGAATGAGGTGAGGTTAGCAGGGACAGGGCAAACTTCTCCCCAGAGACTATGCAGCTCTTTACCTGCCCCAACAACATTAGCTGCTGGGGGAGATGTAAGTCTGCACATTTCTCTTTTATTTTTTTGAAAAACTGCCTGGTCAGATAACATGTGGCAAACTTTGCTGCTTCTCCAAGCATGCTCTGGCCTCGTTGCTCAGTATAACAAATCCCTTGCTCCTGTAACTGACTGTCAATAAGCTCTTTATGCTGTATTTTAATCCCCTGTGGGTGCTTGCACAGAGAGAGTTGGCATCCAGAGTCAGCCTGATGGAGCTGCTGGTTCAATAGCCCAAAAGGTGCCAATGTCAGGGGGATTGGATGGGTTTTGGCACCTCCCTCAGTTCGGATCAGCAATTCCTGGTATTATAGTATGGAGTCCAAGAGGCCTCTTGACTTCTTGCTGTCCCATCCTGTCCCTAGGCTGGAGGAGACCTTGAGGAAGAAAACAGGAATAGGAGAATGTCTTGGTATTGCACTGGGGTCCCAAGTGTAGCAGAGAGGAGGGAACAGATTTGGGTGTTCAGCTCCCTGTTTACACTGTAGCCTGTCATTTTCGTACAGCTCTTTTGCTCTAGTTATCATCTGGCTTAGCTCCATGTCACTAACCTTCAATGGGAATATTCAGGACCTTTTATTTTCAATCTTGCTTCTAAAACAGAGCAAAGGAACAAAAAGAGACGGATATTGAAGTGATGTGGAGAAGACAAATCCTGCACTTTGCTTCAAAGCATAGCGTGACCTTTGCAATAATAAATCTTCCCTCTCCATCAACTATTTCTTGGTGTTTTTTGCAGACTAAAGCTAAAGCCAAGCCCCTTTTGGATGAAAGAAAGTTACCTTTGACGCTAGCCAGACAATGTTCATGTTACCAGTGAGGATGTGACTCGCTGTCCACCTTTTCTTATCACCTGGGATTCCCTGCCTATGGCCAAGAAATGCTCTGACTTTCTCTAAGCGTATTCCCACCTCTGTTTCACACAGTGCCCTCCGATGCTGAGCTCCCAGAGCATGAGAAAGCTTTTATCCAGTTTCATGTCACCATGCCAGAAGGGCCATCTCTCCGCGTCCTGCTGCAGGATCCTGAGGAGAGAAGGAAGCTGGGTAAGTGCGTGCTTGGTGGCAGATCTGGGTTTGGGGCTTAAAGGCCAAAATCCAATATCAAATCTGATCTATGAGCAGAGCAAACCCTTCTGCAACCCAGCCACTCTGCTGTAAGTGCTTTATCACCAAACGTGTGTGCTGAGAGATGTTGAGGGGGTCTCTGTAACTCAAAGGCACTTTTTATCATCTGTTCTTTGAAAAGATGCCTTCCTGGGAAGGCTGTGATCAGAAAGTATCATGATTCCTTCTTTCCCTATGAAGATATTTAAATGCTTTGTCAGTCACAGGAGTATTCTCTCTAATTGAGCATATTGGATCTAACTTCCCTCATTTCCATCTCCTCTTATTTTGCATGGATACATCAGGCATGACACCAACCATGAAACATGCAAGCCTTCGCTTTTTCCCCCCTTGGATAACCTGTCTGCAAGCAGTAAAAATTGTGCAGGGAGCAAGGAGTAGAATAAAGCTATTGGCATTTGTAATTGCAGAGCTCCTGATGGTGATGAGCAAAAGGATCACGTTTTTCCTTCAGCCTGCAGACAGCGCCGGTGCCCAAGAACTGAGCAGAGTCTTTAAATATTGAGGTTTCTTTAAGTCACTACTGTGAAGGCAAAAGACATTGCAGCTAGGCTCGAATAGGAATAGAGAACAGATAGCCCTTCCGCCGCACAATTCCTTTTATTTATTTATTTATTTATTGCGTACGTCTTAATAAAGGAGTTCACTGCTTTTGTAAATGCTGTTGCTGCAGCTTCTTCCTGGAATTGCAGAGTTGTACTGAGCTCTTTCTGGCTCCCTCCTTGCCAACAGTAAAGATCCTGTGGTTTGAAGGTAGATATCTATATCAAGGGGAGGCTGTATCCCCCTTGTAGTGGACAGATACAAAAGCAAGCTACAAATCATCTCTAGGAACTCCGTTACCTGCTCCCTGGGAAAAATTTCCAAGTATTTCCAAGGAGATTTCACTGTAATGCTACAAATCAGCCCCACTGTTACGGGGAAGAAGCACTTGCATGGATGAGGGATGAGACAAGGGCCCTACAGCCAGGAACATTTAGAGGAGGACAGTTCAATAGACCATGATAAATAAAACAATCCACAAAGCTTGTACTGATCTGTCTTGCTGAGTTTGATGCTGACCCTGAGGTTTCCTGAGCCAGATAATGTCCTGCAACACATTGCGGGGAAACGTGTTTGCAGCTGGAGCTCCTGGAAGGAGTTTGGCTTCAGCTTTCAGCGATTGACTTGCCTATAAGAAGATACAGTGAAGGCCGGTGGTGGCTTTTTTTAGCTACATCAAAAGGATCGAGAGAGGAGAGCTTCCTCCCATGCTGATTTTCAGCTTAAGGGGAAAGATAGGAACACTTGCTTATTCAGCTGAAGTTGAATCTTAACAGCCCTCGCCGAAGAGGCTCGAACAATGGAAAGCTCAGTTCGCTCCTGCTAGCATGTCATCTTGCTCGCCTCCCACACAAGTGTCTCTTAGTGCTCTTTTCCCTAATTGCAGAAGTGTGAAATGAAACAGGCCCTACCCGGAATGAGTTTGTCACGTCGCCAGCCCGGGCAGAGTCCTCTCCTCGCCTCCTTTTGCGGCTAGCGGGTGGGAGGCAGAGGACGTTCAAGAGCCCTTTTTTCCTCACCCAAGCACAGGAAGACTCCCTCAGCAACCCTTACATGAGCCCCCAAACCCAAGTATTATGATAAACTACCCCAATACCTTCATTTTTGGGTTTCCTGATTGGCATCAGGATTTATTGGATTAGATTCATTTGGGTTTCCTGATTGGCATCAGCCAAGCTTCCAGCTCTGCCTGTTCTTCTAAGAGAAAACAGGCTCTGCTCATCATTTCCTTGTAAAAAATTGAACATGCAGGCACCGGCCTCAGCTCTGTTTTCAGGAGGAAAGTTGAAACACTAAAACAATCGCCCTGATTTTTTTTTCCCCCCGCTTCTCTTATTACATTCTCTGATAACATTGTTTATATCAAGCATGTGACGTATTCCACAGCTTTGCTAAACTGAAGCCAAAAACTGCCTAACTTCCTGGTCAGATCCTGTTTGATCACCTGGTTGAACAGGCACTGTCATTTGAAATGTGAATTTACAGCCTCACGGGAAGGCAGTGGCCTAGGTTGGTGGTGATTTAGAAAGCAACTAATGATCTGAGAGCTCTCAGGTGACCTGCCTCAGCCTGTATCTCCTGTGATCTCTTGTTATCCATTTATTCATCAGTAGAAATAGCAGCAATCAGTGACAATCATTACCAAGCCACATAAAATCAAGGCATGCCCGTGTTTGTGCTTTCCTTCCCCCTCTAAGTTACAGTTACTTTGATAAAATAAGATCTATGCATTTGCCAAGAAAACACAAGTGATTATTTTTCAGAACCCTTTCCTAAGTTTTATATGCAGCCTCAAAATATTTTCTTGATTGGAAATTGTATTTCTAAGGGGAATAAAGGAGCGGTATTTAGGTAACTGATTGATCTCCACTATCTCTGGAGCAAATCCTGGCCATCTCTCTGGATTATGTTGCCACCGTGTGTCTTGAAACTGGAACTGCTAGCAATGCATATGTTTTTATTATATGTGAATACTAAGCTTTGTTTTTACGTAGTTCAGCATTAGCTGTGGACGTCTTCATTGCAGTCTCTTTAAAACAGAGATGTTTGAATTTGTAGGTCCCTTATTCACAGGTCATCAGTGCTCACTCCTGATACCCAGATGTATCTGGCTCAGTGGAGTAGTGTTTGCGTCTCTCCTGACACTTTTTACCACTGTGCTTTTGCTAAGGTGAAAGCAAATTGAAGGCTCTTTGGGAGGAAAAAAGAATGGGCATCAAAGAGGGCAAAAAGCAGGACCTGCAGGGAAAAGTGAAGGATTGAGGTTTGCTCAGCCTAGAAAAGAAGGAGAAGAAGTATCAAGCCATCCTGAAGATGAAGGGCAGTCACTGAGAGGACAGGATCTGCTTGTCCTCTGTGCTCACGAGGGACCTCGGGAGCTGGAGAGAAGTTAATTTGCAGAGGAGATTGAGGTTAAACATTAGGAGAAACTTTGCTTGCTGCAAGGGCAGCAAAGCGCCGTCTCCGCCTCCCTCGCTTAGGTGATGGCAGCTCCTTCGCTGGCAATTTGAGGGAACATCTGCCAGGTATTCTCAGCCCCGTCTCCGCTGCCAGGGAGTGAAGTAGGTCACCCCTCAAGGTCCCTTCCAGCCCTACAGAGAGGTATTAAGCAGACGGCTGGGACCTACTCCCATTTAACACACGTTGAAAGCCTGGCAGGCTGCTAACGTGACTGGGCTGTCCCTGAATCACGTCGAGTGACACAGCAACTGAAACTCCTTTAATCCGTGGGCAGCCAAGCGAGCAAGACTGCCTGGTGTTGAAGAGGGAGCGACAGGAGAGCGGTGTGGATCTCCTGCTGCTGGCGCAGCCCGGCTGTGATTTCTGTTCTGCTTTTTCCAGGAAAGGCTCATCTGAAGAAAGCCATCATGAAGCACGAAGAAGCCATGAGAATCCACAGCTTATGCAAGATCCTGCGGAAGATGGATATTCTCCAGGAGGTCCTTTCCTTTGCTCACAAACGCTCGCTGAGCAAATACTCAGAAATAGACCATGAAGAGGACTTCTTTGAGACAGGAGATGCCCCAGATATTCACCGTAAGTGATTTTGGGGTGTATTCTGCATGGGGGAGAGTGTCTTGGATAAGGGATGCAATTTGCAAGGGTCCTACAGAGTGGGCAAACTCTACAGGGTTTTATGGAGTTAATGCGATATGTATCTGTGGGCAAAGAGTTGTGCATGTGCAAGAGGAGCTGGGCTCCCTGTACTGAAACAGAGCATTGCTGATACGAATGGGCTGGAGCTCTGGGTTTCCTGTTTGTCAGCTCTCTGAGCAGGTCCGAGCTCTTGTGGGTTACATTTTCCCTACCTCGAACGTGTTCACGGTGAGGGAGCAAACCTCGCTAATGCCGAAATGACATGACCCGTGGTGTGTGTGCTTTCTCTTTTTAACACTAGCCAAAACCCATCAGAAACCGGAGATAAAATCACCCAACTTCTCCCAGGTGAAGGTGACCGATCTCTTCCACAGACTGGTATGTACAGACGTGGAGGGGGGTGGCACTGTGGTCATGGGCAAGGTCAGGGATAAAAGTGCTCCCGTTATGCAGGGAACCTTTCCAGGCAGCGTTTAGGAGCACCCAAAGAAGCGAGAAAGCCCACGCAGCCTGCGAGGTTCGTTTTCTTCTCCAAAACGCCATCTGGAAAGCAAATGCTGCCTTCTTCTCTTATTATTTTGTTAGTCATAGAAGCAGCAGCAGGTTAGTTAGCTGAGGAGCAGGGCTGTCATCCAGCTTCCCCCGAGAAGGCAGCAGGCACACACACAAAAGCTTGTCCTTTCATCCTGCTCTAAGAAGCAGCAGGACCGTGAGTCATTCTTCCCCCCTGGTACAGGCACTTCCCTCAAGGGCTTCCTTCCAGCAGGAGATGAGCCACCTCCTCACAGGCAAGAGCTTTTGCAGGAGAATGGGCAAGGGAGTCCATATCTGTGCATGATCTAAGTGGAGCAAGACCAATTCAGTCCCCCAAAATCAGCATGGGCTTTGGAGTGAAGATTCTTGGATGTCAAGTAGAGTGGACACCTTCTCTCTTGAAGAGATGACCTGTCCTGGTGCAGTCCACCAATCCTGGCTGGTTGTATCCCCTCCAGAGCCAGGCTGTAGTGAAAACCTGAATCCCTGACCCTCATTTGATGATGAGTTTTATTTCCTTAAAGGGGAAAAGTAAGGAAAGGGGGAAATTGTTTGGTCCAAGACTGTAATGTTTAAACTGAGCTTACCCTGATGGTGAGACCTCCTTCTCCTTTGTTGCGTGAGAGGATGTCGTGATCTATGTTGGCTCTGCTCTGACCAGAGGTTGGACCAGAGACCTCCAGAAATCCTTTCCAATCCACATAAGCCTGTGTTGTTTCACTCACAGCCAGAGTCTAACAAGTGCTCTTAACTCTTCTAGCCTTGCACTGCATAAATCTGCTGCTTTTTTTGGCACACAGGTGGGCTGAAACCCTGAACAGGCTCAAAACAGGTCAAAAAAAAAAAAAAAAAGAGAAAGACAAGATTTTTTGTCCTCCTTCCTTACCATCAGTGGATATTTTTGCAGCACAGGCTCCGCAGAGAGTTGCTCTTGCACTGGAAAGTGTTTTCACTGTTTCTGCTTTGCCCTAGGGACCTCTCTCAGTTTTCTCAGCCAAAAACAAGTGGTACCCGGTACGACGAGTCCACCTGATGAGAGGTGAGAATGGCTTTGGATTCACGCTCCGAGGAGACTCTCCCGTCCTCATCGCCGGCGTGATCCCCGGAGGTTGTGCTGCTGTGAGTATCCCATGCACTTGCAGCCCACAGCTTTCCCCTAGCTAGGGATGTTGGAATTGGGATTGCCTTGAGGGCTGCCCAGCCGTTTTAGCACTTAACATTAAGCAGCATAACTTGGCAGCGACACTGATCTGTCTAGCTGGAGACTTAACCCTGCTGGATCTGTGCCTCAGGTTGGGTGCTTCCAAAAGTGTTGAGCTGTGATTTTAAGAAGATAACTAAGGAAAAATACAGAGGTTAGCTCAGTTTCTAACTGCTGTGAGCCTTTTTTTTTTTTTTTGGCAAGCACCCAGCTCTCCTGTCCCTCATTTTGGGAAATGAGAGTGGATGGAATAAAATGGCAAGTTTAGTACTTTAGTTTTCAGAGATTGTTTCTGAAAACTCTGAAGTGAGCTTTGACTTTTGGGGTTGGACTAGATGACATCTAGAGGTCCCTTCCAACCTTAAGGATTCTGTGATTCTGTAATTCCAGATAAAGATACCAAAATGGGAGTGTCCAGGTGCGTACAAGTTTCTAAACCTCCATTGCAGCTGGCCCTGCATGTCCTGGCTGGCATGCTCTTTCTCCAAACTCTACTAATGATATTGACTATTTCTCCAGGACCTATATCAGGAGCTCAGTGTGTGTGGAGGAACTGCATGCATCTAGATTAGAAATGGAAATGCATCCTGGAGTCTTGCCACTGAGCTGGACTGAGCCCATAGCCCCAAGCTAGTGTGTGTTTTGGTTTAAATGTGCAAAGAGCCTTGTTGAAGCCTGATTTGCAAAACCTGGATGTTAGAGCTTGCTCTAGGTCTGAGGGTCCAAGCCTGCAGACAGTGATTTTTTGGAGGCATATTGTGTTTATCTTCTAGCAGTAGGCAGGTCAGGGTTGGATGTGAGAGTTGGATAGAGCATCCCCCCTTGACAAACACACTGCAAAACAAATTTAGAATTGCTGGAATGAAAAAAAACATGAACAGCCTCACACTGCAGCTCAGACATGTCCACGTTCTCCATTCCCTTGCAGGAAGCTGGGCTGAAGGAAGGGGACTACATCATCTCAGTGAACGGCAAGGATTGCAAGTGGTCCAAGCACGCCGAAGTGGTGCAGCTGCTGAAGAGCACGGGGGAAGAGGGAGTGGAGATTGGTGTGATAACACTGCAGGGCTCAGAAGGGCCGAAAACTGTAAGTCGTGAGAGCATTTTGCAAGCAAAGCTTGGCAAAATCCTTAAGTAGGAAACTGCAACTGTGGGGAGAAATTTGCTTTGGTCTGCTTAAAACAAGGCTCTGCTTTGTTTCCTGCATGGCGGGTTTGTTTACAGCTGGCCTGGCAAATACAAAGCACTAGTAACTGCTTTCAGAGGAGGAGGGCCATCTATCTTCACTCTTAGCCACAGAATAGTCACCAAGGCAAGCTGACCCAGCAGCTGCTTTATGGAAGACAGAGGTTCCCTACTGGTCTATAATGGGCAGAGGTGACAGGGCAATGAGGATTTTTTTTTCTCCTTTTACTGCATGAGTTTCCTTGCCTTGCAGCCAGTGCAGCAGAGAGGCTTTAAATGAGACCAGTTCTGCCTGAGTTGGAGGCTGCTCAGCCTGTGTGCATGTGGTTTGTGCTAATGTGTGTCAGAAAATTAAAGCATCACAAGACTAGAGGTGATGGCTGTGAATTGCACTTGACAGAGGAAGCTGAAAAATTGAGTTCCTATCCTTGCCCTGGCTTGATGCTGCTCTGTTTTCAGATGCATCGTAGTCTCCCAGACCCTGACCATGTGAGGAGTTCCTGTTATATATAGGAAAATATTCAGGAACCAGCAGAAAAACTACAGAAATCAACCACTTGAGTGGTAGAGAACATTGATGCAGGGTCCTCCTTTGCCTTCACACCTCACTCTGGTCTCTGTCCCCACTCCTGACAGGCAGACAAGAAGGCAGCAGTGATGTCTTCGGGAGGCGGGCTGATAAAGAACAACAAGGAGAACAGCCGGAAAAGTCTAATGAACAGCAAGAGCGCCAGCACGCTGCTGGTCTGGAATAAGAAGAGCAAACGGAGCAAGAACAGCACTTACAGCGTTCCCTTCACCGCAGTGGGAGACAACGAGGCCATGTACTGAGACAGCCACCTGGCTAGGTCATGTTCTTCAAACTCTGGACCGGCCTGACGTTGAATCCTAGCAATGGCAGACCCTCAGCAGCGCAGGTAGTCTGTTTAGGGTGTCGTTGCAGCATGATGCTCCTCTCATTTGGAGGAAGCCCGGCTTCTAATGCTTTTCCCATCTGGGGACATGCCGCTGGTTGGATTCCCTCCAAGATGTGAGTGACACACAGCCCCTGTCACTGCTGAACTTTGGACTTCTCCATCTCCCAGCCCCTGCATAAGTTGTCCTCAGCTAAACAGTATTGGGAAACTATGATTTAGATTTACTTTTTTTTTCTCTCTTAAGGGGAAGAGGGACCTGTACTTTGGTATAAAGCAGGGACTGGTTTGTGTCTTCTGCTTAACACAAGGAGCAGTCAAGCCAAGCCCAGTCATTAAAGCAAAAGCTGTAACCTTCTTTAGTGTCTCTCTTAGGCTTTATCTGCTGTGTAGAAGACAACACTAATGATGCTGCTCACCATAAGCCAAGTCATGTGGCAATTCCAGCCCAGCATCTCTGTCAGAAGAAGACTGAGAGAGAGGTATTTGGATCTACTGTGAGCAAGCCACTGAGTGGTACGAGGGTTTTCAACCCCCCCAGGGCAGCTGTGCAGCCCACAAGGCTTAGACAGACTGGCCTGAAGAGTCTGCAGGTTGCAGGGCTTCTCCGTGAATGCTTTGCAGCAATTTGAGGGAGAAATTGGACCCTGTTGTTTTAAAAGTGCTCAACCTGTGAGTACTGAGGTTGTGGAGAAAAGCATTCAGGTCAAGAAACGCTCATGAGTGCCCAAACTGAGTAAATTTAAGCCAACTGGCTTACAAGCCAGTGTCCCAGCACAGTCTCAATTCAGTGTGCATGTATCCTATTATAGCAAAGGGACTTCTGTCCCACTAAACCTTCTGTTACATAGAGCAGAGTAGGTGGATCAAAATGTCAGATTTGTCCCCATTTGAATGTGAAGGGAGGACAGTTCCCACTGTCCTAGGTGAATTTTCTAAGGAGCAGAACAACTGTGTGTATGTGTGTATTTGCTCTTTCTGGTCTACATTGACATGACAATCTCCATGATTGTCCTACTGAGTGAAGGGAGATGTATCTAACACCCTAGTAGTAGAAAACTTTAGCATTTTCAATACTGCAAGCCTTGAACCAATGGATTAACAAGACTTCTTGCTGGCCAAGCTATGAAATCAGAGCTACACTCAGATTACATTCAGTTCCCATTTATTGAGAGCAAAATAAATGTGGTGTAGCTCAGATACTGATGAAAGGTGGTCACGGTATCATGGAGTTGAGGGCAACAAGCACCCAAAGCTCTGGAGGGCCTGAGTACTTAAATAGGCAGTCAGGCAGCAGTGTGAGTTAACCAAGTGACAGCTGAACGGGTTAGAGATTGAATGGGGTTGGCCACATGCCCACCAGCAGAGCTGGCAGCATGTCAGACCTCCCATCATTTCAAATCACCAGCGAGGCAGACCTTGGTCTGCTTATTCCTGAGTTTCACAGGTAATGTGTAGTTGAACCAAGTTTAGCAAAGCTACAGCTGTAGGTGAGCTACAGCTGATACCAACTTGAGCATCTGTTCATGCAGTGCTGAACTGGGACTTGTGCACATTTTTGTTTTAATGGGTGCATAGGTTTGCGCAGCAAATAGACCCAATTCCATAGCCTGCTTCTCTGGAGGAAAAGGGAAAGACTTACTATATATTTGTTGTCTTGCTTTTTTAATCAGTAGAAGTGGATTGCCCTAAATATGCGAGTAGATTAATAGCTAAGAGCCTTGTTTCTTTCTTGGTATGAGATTAAAATTCCAGGAAGATAGCTCCTCCAGATTATTAAACTACTAAATTTGTGCTAGTATTGAATCTTGCACACGTTGCTAATACCCTAACATTGTGCTGTCAGCATTCATATCAGAGCGGGGCTGATGGATGCATGCATCTTGGTAATTGTACTGGAAATGCTGGAAGACTCAGAATACATACTAGATATATTGGCAAAATTTTCTCAATTCCGTTTCTGCATTGTGCACTATTTTTCTGAAGGCTAAGGAGCTGTCTAATCTTGAGTGCTTGGATGATCTTGGTAGGTATAAAATACCCTTCAGAGATTCAATTGTATTTTTGTACTTTTTAAGTTGTGACAAATTTGTAACCATAGTTTAATGCAGTTAACTGAATATGCAGGTCCCTTGAGGCTGGCAGTGGGATATTTTTGTGTTTGCTTCCCTTGGGGTTGTACCTTGATTTGTTCTAGTGCTCATGTGCCAACCTTTTGGTCCTGTTTTGATTTATGGAAAAATGGAAGGAAGATTTCTAGCTCTAGATGGTATTATATCCAAAGCACATTAGTTAATGACAGACCTCTGCTCATGCAACATATCTTGCCTCTCCTGGTTTCAACAAGTTCTGTGCATAGACTAAGATTTATGCTCTTCACTCTTGTCTCCACACATGATGGTAAGGTCTGAGGTGTCCTGTGTTTTGGTGACCAGTCCTCAGGCTTCTGGACATGAGCTGGCCCTACCTTGACTGTTGAAAGGGATTTCCCTCCATGGAGGAGCCCTTCATAGTTGTAATTTTCTGCAGCTTTCCCTGCAATAACTGAGAGCTGGACATTGTCAGATGATTACAGGTCTGGGTTTGAGCATGAGGCCATCTGGTACTATCTGCTTTTCTGTGCCATCTTACCAGCTGTTTGTTAGAGGAGTGGTAGGAAATGATGTAGGTTTACATGTAAGGCAAATTTGCCATTAACATATCTTGGTAGAAACTCTGGAGATCCTAGATGTGTTCCTGTGCATTGCATTTCCACCTATATCACCCAGTTCCTACATCTGCAATGTCAGAGGGGTTGTGCTTTATGTGAGATGGTTATTCTCCTAACACCAGTGGTTTGTTTGTTTGTTTTTTTAACTTGTATGTGGAATTTCACCATTTATGGATTAAAAAGCACTGATTTGAAAACACTTTGCAATGCATTTCTGTTGCTAACTGTGTGAGGACAGTGTGCACCAGCCATGGTATGGGAATAAACCATGAGCTGGGCTTGCAAATGAGGTAGTTTAGCATAGATCCAGAGCTATCAAAGTTGGGAGGGAAGGTTTGAACCCTGTATGGTCTGCTCTGAAGAAGCTGAAGATCAGAGGCAAACTGAAGATCAGAGGGAAACTGAGCTCTTAAACACTTAGTGAATGGACACCCCAGTGATTCCTGTGTGAGGTAAAGGGACAACATAATTGCTCTTTCAATAGACATGGGTGGATGGGAATGAACTAGGGTCAGGGCTTTAAACACCAGGTTATTGTATAAGAGGGTGGTGATCAGTTATTCTTATGAATCCAACCACAAAAGCTAGCCAGGCTTTGGTCAAATTTGCAGTCCCTTCAACATCAAGCAAAGCCTTTTAGCAGTTTCTGCTCTCACATTTTTTTCCAGCCTGCCCCAAACCGAACCATCCATCCTATGTGTAGATCCATCATGTTGTGATACAAATCTTTGCCAACAAACTGCAGTGTTTCTTCACCGAGGCTACGTTTTATCATGGTGCTTGGGCTCATTTTCTCCTCCCATATCTACCAAGCCAAGATTAGAATGACATCTGACTTCTTTTGACATCTTTTCGCAGTATAGGCAGTTATGACTTATTTTCCCCTTTGCTAATGTGCCCAGCATCAAAACCTTGCCAGCTTTTTTTATCCTTGCAATAGTCTCAGATATTCAAAGCCACCCACACTAATCTGTTCTGCTGCAGTAGATCCCTTTCCCACCTATATTCAGGGGATGTGGGAAGTGCATGACTCAACAGCCAGGGCTGCCTCCCGCCGTGGTGACAGAGGAAGGACTGACACATGCTCCACCAGCAAGAGCCTAGTGCTTCCTCTTCCCCACAATGAGGAGAAAGACTAAAAGGCCAGTGATGTCTCCATATGCCGGTTCATGACCCCTCACAGGGAACCTACTCAAGGCAAATCACTGCTGACCTTCCTTTGTCCGGGTAGACTTGCTATCCCATGATGGGTCTTGAGCAGTCATGAGTGTCCATAGGAGTGTGTGCTGCTTTGGTTCTGTCAATACAACTGTTCATTGCCCCCCTGGCTTTCTAGGAGTAGCATATCCTGCAGAAATGAGTCTTAGATACTCCAGCCTCTCCAAAGGGGCTGCAGAAGAAGTTCTTGGGGTACATTTGCTTACTCAGATCGAACCACTCAGTGGCATTCCTCATTTTCAGGGCACCCTGGCATACCAGGAATATCTTCTTACTTTCATTATCCTAGTCTAGCACGGATCATTCAAAATAGCAGCAAACTAATTTCCATCTAGGGAGCTGGATCGCTGTGTTCATCTTCTCCATCTGGACAAGGAGGTGGAGGGTGTCCTGTAGGAGCCAGGAGAAGGCAGTGTGGGCAGAGAGAGAGGAAGAGCTATTGCAAAATGCTTTGATGGTAGCAGGGGAGTTGAAATCTCTCTGGCCTGTCCCCATATGGAGAGGCTCTGAGTGGGCTTAACAGCTGAGCCTGCCCTTCTCCTGCAGCATCCTGGAGGGACCTGAGTGGATGCAAGAGCCTGGTGAGTCCCCTGGTTTTGCCACCTTCTATGACATGCCTCACGGGGCTGGAGTGAGTTTGACGTGTCCTCGTGCAACACTTCTCCAACTTGGTGCCCCATTTCCAACATGAGGATGTGACCCTCATCTAAGGTGGATCCCGGGAACAGCTTGTGACCAGAGATGCAAAGAGGCCTCTTTGCAATAGTCTCCCTGCATGAAGGACTTGTGTTGTGGAGTCCTTCAGCTGGGCCAGAGTACAGGGCTGCCCTCCTTCATGTAAAGCACTAGGGGAAGAGGATGAAGGTGTTCAGGACATGGGAAGTGAGAGCTGAGATGCTCCAAGGAAGAACTACGGAGCAAGTTGTTAGTGAGTGTATCCATGCAAAGGTTTCCAAGTTTGGGACTTGGAAAGGGGCCTTTTTCTTCTAGTTTAAACTAGAGCTGAGATAAGAGAGGAGGTGAGGTAGCAGGAGAGGTTTGACAGGTAGACAGATAGGAGAGCTGCCTCTTCTATCCATCACTGATCTGCTTTGGGAGCTTGGCTGCAACACGATGTGCAAAGTGACCCAGGCCGCAAACAGGTCAGCGAGTTCTGTTCAGGGACTTTCTCCTGCATCAGTGAAGCCCATTTAGTCCATTTTCCTGTGCTACTGCACAAGGTTTTATCCTTTGGCTATGCTGGTATGGCCATCTCTGCTCTTCAGTCCATGCAGCCAAAGAGCAGGCATGTTTTGGGGGTAACACTGATTCTTCCTCCTTTCCCTGGACCATCAGCTGTTTCCTTCCTGCTCAGACATGAAATGTCTCCTCTTTCTTCACGGGAAGAGGTAAAAATCCACAAGAAGAGAAAATCCTCTTTCTTCACAAGAAGATGGGTAAAAACGTCCATCGTTTCCTGCTGCTCTGTTGCATCTTGTCCTCTGCCTCTTTGGGCTGCACTTTACTGGACACAAATCCACATATTCCCTCCAGCTTTCCCAAATCCCCATGCAGACGGCTACCTTGTGTATCCCGCTCATCTGCCTCCATAAAGAAGCGGGATGCCCAGTGCCACCCTCCTTCCAGCCTGAGCCCACTGGAGGGCAGCAGCGCCCTGTGCATGGCACCCAACACCACAGCAACAGCACCAAGAGTTTCCTCACCGGGGCTGACACCCTCTCCAGCTCCCCTGCTCCCACTCTGACACCCAAGGGTGACCCGTGTGTCCCTGGGGTGCTTTGGAGGCCAGGGCACTGCCAAGCTATGGCATAAGCAGTAGTCCTGTTTGGTCTGTGGTGAGAAGGATGGAAGAAACGGAGCTAAGTGTTGCTTGGAGGTGCCAGAGCACCCTGACCTTGCAGAGAGGGAGGTGCTCGGGAGAGGTAGAGGCTGAACCTGTTGGTGGGACTAAGGCCCAGGGTGTGAGCAGCTGTGCTGTGGGTTGGGGTGGAATATGTGTGATGACAGAGAGGTAACAGGCGGGTCTAGGAGCCACCAGCAAGCTCCAGATGGGGTTGTGAGCCAGCAGCATCGCGCTAGAGGGCAGAGTCGATTCGTGCTGAGTCCTGCTCCCTGCAGTCCTGATGCCAGGTGGGAGAGCGGTTGTAGCTCCATCCCGGGCCCTTGTATCTCCATCCCACCCCTGCTACCTGCTCCCTGCCAGGCAAAGGACACGGTGAGCTGGTTCTTGGGCCTCTGAACCCAGTGTGTTCCCATGGACCAAACTGTGTGCAAACCCATATGCGCAGTTACTCCCAAGTCAGCTCTTGCTCTAGCAAATGCCTTTGATGCTGAAACCTAAGTGTGAGCCCTCTGCTTAACTGCCCATTTGTTAAAATGCAACCAGGAGAGGAGGGAAGGGAAGGGCCCTAAAATGCCCTCAAAAGTCCTCAGTGTCCATTTGCCCCAACTGTTTCCCATTGCCACTGTGATGGCTGTGGGATGACCCTGTCCCGAAGGACAGGGATGTGGTCCCCAAGGAACAATCTCCCACATCCCCACGTGTGGGACACATCCCCATGCATATCAGCAAAATCATCCTGTGGCAACACCCTGGCCCAGCACTGTGGGATGAAGTAAGTCCGGCCAGAGGAATGCAAAGTTTTTTATCCCAAATGTAGCATGTAAAGTCACGTCCATATGGGGTCTCCATTGCTACCCAAGGAGCTACCTCCAGTTGTCAATGTGCAATGGCAGTGCAAGAGAAGGGCAAACCTATGCTTTGTCCCAAAGTCCAACAGTGCAGGAGGCCATTTCCCAAGGCAGGGATTTTGATGTCTATGAGATGCACCATGTGGCCAACTGGACCTACGTGGTGCAATTAGGACCAAAAAGAGCAGGAGGTCCATGCTATGGAGCAAGAGGGTCATGCTGTGGGACAAGGGGGCCATGCTTTGATGCAAGAGGTCATTCTATGCATCAAGAGGGCCTGAAAGTCAGAGTACAGACACACAGATAGACCAAGAGTAGATTCATCTCAGTGCCCCACTTTCCAGTCCAAATTATGGGTGGTTATAAGCACAGATCCCATCCCAGATGGGATCAGCATGTCTGTGCTTCCCCATGTACTTCCCAACCCTTGACCATTCACAGTGTCCAGGTCCTGGAGTGGTTTCCACTGGGAGAGGTGGCAGTCATCTCCTGCCATCCTCTCCTAACCCTTCAGGATCTACAGCCCTTGATCTTGTTCAGTCTCCACCATGCCTCAAGCTTTGCAAGAGCTGTTGGCTCTCAATAGATAAATGGACGAAAGCAACCAAGTCCGATACTGAGCAATTTTCTATCCAACTGCCTTTATCCCCAGCTTCTCCCAACAAGCTCATCCCATTTTTTTTCCTGTCTTGGGAGCAGTCTCCCTCTTTTTTCCCACACTCATCAAGGGCCTCCTTCACCCAGGCCCGGTCTTTAATGGAAGGGACAGAACTGAGCCGTTCGGAAATGGCTCCTGAATCTTTAATAAAGCAAACATTGCCTGGGCCATAAACATATGATGACAGCAACAGAGGCTCTCAAGCTTATTGCCTGGCTGCTAGTTCTTTACTTAACTCTGCCATAATGGCTTTAATAGCCCGGGAGGGAGCTGAGGTGAAAGTCCTATTAAAAAATGTATTTCCGAATTTAATTGAGGCTCCATCTGTGGGGAAAGACA